CTCCTGGAGCACTGGGAGTTGGTGACAGAGGGTTGGTGCAAATCCAAGTCAGAGCAGGAACATAAATGTGAGCACAGCTGAATATCAGCTACAGGATGAGGGGGAAACAGTCAGGAGAATACAGCCTTGCTATCTGCCACTTGAAAGAACCTGGTTCTCACAGAGTTGGAAGAAGCGGAAAGATCTGTTGAATGTACAGACAGACGCCACTGGTTGGGAGGAGCTGGCCGGACACCAGCCAGAGTATTCCAGGATGCTAATAGCTGGGCGGGGAGATGTGTATGGCCCTCACACATCTCCCCACCCAGCTCTTAAAAATCTGAGACGCTCTGGCCATAAACGGGGTGGCAGCCACATTGCAATTATTGTGCAGCAGAGCAGACATGCCACTCTGCCTGCCGCCCCACCACGTGACCCAATGAGAGGCCTTAGGCTGTCTCATTATGGGGAAGGCCCTGCAACGGACAGACAGAAACAGTCATAACCAGGAGTAGCAGGATATACATACAGACAGGATCAGAAGCAAAACTAATACAAACCAGACAAGCAGGATCAGATGCCATAGCCAAAACAGGTCAGAATAAACAGGACAGAAAGACATAGCCCAAATGCAAAAACAGACAGGGTCTGAAGAGCTAAAATGAATACATACTAACTCAAACAGATACTGGCTGATAAGGACAGAGAGCCTAAATATCAACAAAAGTAGAGGGCATTTAGACCTTTGTAAACCCCAACTGGTTTCAGACTGCAGCAGACACCCCAGGCTAAATGATTTTGTGGGACAAAGCTTACTAGTTGAGCTAGATTATCCCAACTAATGGATATGGTCCTGCAATGTATGAATAGGGACAATGGTGTTTGCCATACCTCTCGATGTTCTTAGCTGAGAAAGAAAGACACCCTACAGGACATAGTATGTGTGCAAAGGGTACACCAGCCACACCCCAGGAATACAGACCATGAAGAATTAATGCATAAAAAATGATTGGTTAAACCCATGAGTGCTTTTTTTATCTTTCCTTTTGTTATATATTATTTTGTTTTTCAAAATAACAACTGCTGTAATTCAGCGGTTAGTACATTTCTTTCGTAGTTAAACAGCGCATTTTTATAGAGGTCTATACAGCAGACCAATAAGGGGAACAACTGAGAAGGAAGGAGGGGCCAAGAAATTTGAACCTAAATGAGGATCAGTCGGGAGCTATGGTGTTTACACACATGCACACCTGAGCAATATGAACTTTTTTGCCAAGCAATAATGATAAAATAAAAATTATAACAGACTGACAGCAGTAATATGACGGTAACACAGGGCCCTATTTACATAGAAATCTTATGAGCCTATGGAAACATTGAAACCCCCAAAAACATCACTTTGGGGTCTAGTCACAAAAGGGTGAAGAGTTTGGAGAAGGCAGGAGAAGTGAACAATCTAGGACAACATAGCTGAATTGGAACGTGAGCTGAATTGGAGAATTTTTCCAAATCAGCTATTTTGGCCTAGATTGTTCACTTCTCCTGCCTTCTCCAAAATCTTCACCCTTTTGTGAATAAACCCCTTTGTGTAGCTCTTTGCTTGGCAACCATAAACATTTTTGGATATATACAGCTGGGCTGCAGGGTCCAAAGAGGCCTCCTCATCCATCAGATGGTGCAGTCCCTCCAACTGGAAATCTTCAATCAAATTGTTATTGTTATAAGCACATGTCATGAGTCTGGACAAAAATAGGGGTAAACCACACAGGCAATGGTCATATACAGTAAATCTTGGTCAACAGGATATCTGGGTCTTAGCATATTCTGTTTTCTGCTTCTCAACATATACCAACATATACTCTACAGAATAAGCAATCATGTTGCTTACAAATCATTAAAAAAAACTTATTATCAGAGCTAGCTTGTTTAAATGATTTAAATATTTGCTCTTAATCTGCCAGATGGCATTATCTGATGAATGAATTGGTGTACAAACAATGTACTATACTGTATACAATGCAGACACAGTTTATCCTATACAATTCTAACTATGCAATATTAACTATGTGCTATATAAATAGTTGTCAGAATATATCACAACTGTTTTAAATATTCATGTCTAAGTGTATGTGTTTAAATGCTCTCTCATTGCAACAAAAATATTTTCCTCCTCACAATATCCCCGTGAGACAGAACATTTTATGCTGTAAATGCTTAGTGTTTCTTATTCACTTGTGTAATATGTATGCAGCTTGAAATGCCTTTTTTTGTCATGGGTGAATACAAAAACATGACACCTGTGAACCAGAAAAGATTAAAAATTAACTTAGTCAATAGCAAAGAGTTGGAGGCAACAGCCAAAGTTAAAGTGACATGAATCTCAGGAGTTAAACCTTAAAAATGTATCACTCAGCTGTAGATCCTCAAATCATCTCTACTTTTGTTCCCCCGTGGTCCCTGTGTGTGTGTTGTAAAGTAGTTTCTGCTCGAAGCTCGTTCCCATGATGGTCTACAATCTCACGTTAAGTTACAGTAGCTAATTTGTACTGAGATTGTAGTCCATCACGGGAGTGAACTTGGAGCCGTGGCTACTTTACAACACATACAGGGACCATGGGGAACAAAAGTAGCCACCCTCCAGAAGGAAGAACAATGTCAGCATGAATTCAGAGATGATTTGAGGATCTACAGATGAGTAATACACAAATTAACTAAGTTTTTGTTAATAGTTAAGGTACCTGGATGCATGTTTAAGATTTAACTCCTGAGTTTAGTGTCATTTTAAAAGAGAACTATAGCTAAACCTTGTTTTGGCTTTAGTTCCCTTTTGTGTCACAGGAGTACATTTACTAATGCTTTGCCCAACCCCTCCTTTGTTTGTTCCTCCAATGAGCACTGGTGGAACAAAGAGGGGAGGAGAGTATCCCTCCGGGGAGTGGTGACTAACAGTCACAGTGCCTTTTTCAGTGATAATGTTTTATAGTAAACATTGAGGCCTGAGAAGAAATGTTTAAAGTAAAACTAGAGCCACATTGTTTTTTGGATAAAGTAAGAAAGAGAGAGCTCTTTCTCCATCTGTGCCCCAAAAAAGCATACCTTTTTCTTAATCCTTACAGTGGGACTACCTCCGCACTGCGAGGGTTAAGTGCTCGTGTTTGTCTAGGTGCTAGAAAATAAAATTTTACTCACCTGATCCTCTGAGCCAGCATGTTCTTAGACTAGTCCTTCCATTCTCTCTCCCTCCGCGCTGGTAGTCTAAGGATAGTTGGGTCATCTCGTTCTATACAAAGTGTGGGGAATTTATTAAAACTGGAGCAAACAGAATCTGGAGCCCATGGCAACTAATCAGCATCTCTCATCTTTTATCAAAGCTTAACTGAACAAACTAAAGAGAGAAGTGGATTGGGTGCCATGTGCAACTGCTCCAGTTTCTGGGTGCTCCAGTTTTAATAAATTCCCCTCAGTGTGTAGGACAGGAGGATGCCAAGGGACATACCATTGCGGCAGTGAAGGAGGAGAAAGGCTGCAGGGCCTGAAGTAGCAGCCAGTCTGCTCCACGGTTCGGATGAGTAACTTTTTTTTTTAGCTCCTAGACAAAAATGAGTTCTTTGCTCCATTGCAAGGGTTAAGAAAAAATTTGCCCGGAGTTCTTTTTTAATGAAGCCTACAACTTAACTGAATATATATTATACGCTGTGGATTTTTTACTATATATATATATAATATTGAACCTTTCGTTGCCAGTGTTTATATGCGACACATTGTCCAAATCAAATCTCTATGAACCTAGTTAGGAATATAAAGTAAACACATGCTGGGGTGAAAATGGCTGCTTTAGTAAATGTACTTACTTTGTTGAACAATCAGTACGTGAAATATAAAAACAGATGTAGTTGTACACAATTGAGTTAAACAGTCATTTAAACTGTAAGGCTTCATTCATAAAGGGTCCTTTACAAAGGTTTTCAACACATGACAAGTGCCCCCATCTGCCAGATTGTGCATCTCTTTCACCCAGACATTGCATGTAACGTTTGGGCTCAACTATCCAACTGATTTCAATTACATTCCCTTGTGGAAGAATGTTGTTAATATGGCCAGAAAGGAGCCTGCAAAATTGGTGCCCATGTGAACTTTCCCGATTGATCTGTAATCAAGGTCACTTGTATATCAAAATTGTTTTGTCCATTTACATTCACATATACCTTTTTCATTTCCTTATAGTACAATGCTGTTATTTTGATATTGCAGCTTTCAAAATAAAGAAGACATGGATAATATATACAACATAGCATGGATAAGATATTTCCTTATAATACATTTGATTGAATAACCAAGGCTATATTTCCCATTAAATACTCAACAGCCAATGCCCAGGGCATTGTTGTTAAGGAGGAACTGTAATGCAACACGATTTGTAAGTTTTTGCTTTTTTGTGTGTTTATTTTGTGTTTATTAGTGGACCATCTGTGAAACAATGTGCTTCAATCTGTGGTTAACTCCATCAGAAAAGAAGAAATATGGGTTTAGAAGCTGACAAAAGAAACTGCAAGACCTCATGCAGAGGGCAACAGTGTTTGGTAAAAAGGATGAAGCTTCCACAAAAGGGTATTATTATTATTCATCAAAGGCAATGAAGAAATTGCCCCCAATGAACTTTTCTTTTTTTACCTAAATTGCAGCGAATCCCACACTCAAGCCCAACACTGATAAACAAAATGTAAGCAGGTAAAAGAAGACATCTTTTCCTAGAGCCATGTATTACATATACTATTCAGTGACAGTCACTGATGTATTTATAGAATAGATTAGGAGAATAAGGAGGGGGGGGGGGAGGTCAAACGTTTACCTAGCTCCCTCTCTCTCTCTTGAGAAGATTTTCATTCTTAATTTGTTAATCTTAGAATGCAGAAGACAGAAGAATTGGCTAGATAGTGGACGTTCAACACTTTACTCCATCCATGTATCTAGAAATCTGAATGTTTTTTTTTTGTTAGGAACTAGTAAAACAGTATTTTATAATGTCTATCCAGTTTCCACGTCCAGTACCATGGAGGAACAACAGCATGACTCTACCGCAAAAAGAGAATCCATTATCAGAGCAAGGAGAAACTATCATAGGAATCTATTTGCTATCATTAGGTATGTACTGCAGGGAAATCAGTCCTTTGCTAATTATACTGCTATAGAATGTGCTACTAAAATAGATGTGCTACTAAATAGTTTTTTACTGCTTGTACTGATAGTGGCATATACTGTTATGTTAACCAGTTGACATCCGCGGTGTTAAACCCCCTTCCCATCCAGGCCATTTTTCAGTATTCAGCGCTGCGGTACTTTAACTGACATTTATTCCGTCATGCAGCGCTGTACTGAAATGAATTTTATACCCTTTTTTGGGGACAGATAGAGCTTTCTTTTGGTGGTATTTATTCACCACTGGGGGTTTTATTTTTTTACTATATTAAGGAAAAATTACCGAAATTTAAAAAAAAAAAACAGTTTCCCCTATATTAAATGATAAAACATTTATTATTACCCAATTTTTTGGTAAAATATAAAAGATGGGGTCACGTCGGGTAAAAAGACACTAAACATGTCAAGCCTTAAAATTGCGTGCGCGCGTGAAACCTCAAAAAACGATAATACCCAAAATTGGCCCTAGGCGACGCTTTAAAAGCTGTTACCGCTCATCAGTTTAGTGTTATCAGTGATTGATGGCCCTAAAATGATTGCTCTCACTGCGACGTTAACGGCGATATGTAACATGTGTAGCGCAATTGTAATTTTTGGCGCGCTGGGGCACCGGACGCGTATTTACGTTTATAGGGCGTAAACGTGGGGGAATTATAAAAATAAAATGTATTTATACTTTTTATTTTATCTAATGCCTGATGACAGTAATAAATTGTTATCGCGGTACAATAATGAGAATTTTGATGATATTACCAATGTTACGGACAAAGTGGTTTCTTTTACATAGCTAAGGTCAGCATTTTTTTTTTTTTACCAGGGTATAGTTTAAGAACAACTGTGAGTATCTGTCGTTAACACAAGTGCATCTGTCAAAATGACTGAGCAGCAAGTTGATGCAGCATGTTCATATCCGATTATGTAATGGTGTCAGTGAAACTCATGGCTCATGGCTTATCTTGACCTGCATAACCATTCTAATTAGGCAATTGAAGAATCCCTGAGCCTACATATGTTCATGAATGGCAGATTGTTTTAAAACAGGCTGTGTTAATTTCAATTTCTGTGTGATTACATTAATACAGTGCACAGGTAAGCAAGAGAGAGGGGGACAAAGTGTGAGTAGACAATTGAGTATTATAGTGTGAATTAGATGTCTTAGATGTGAATTTAACTGAGACTTGAAACCTGACAAGAGATGCTAACTGTGAACTTATTTTCTTAAGGTGTTTTGCTGTCATTTTAACGAATACATTTAACATTTTTCAGTACAACATAGAACAGTGGCAGTAAAAGGAAGGAATACAATCGAAGTAATGATCCAAATATTCCATCCGAATATAAACCAGTAGCATGGAAGCACAAAAGGTCTTGACATTCAGATTTTCCAAAAGAAGCATATGTTTCACCACAAGAATGTTGCTGTCATTTTTATGACCAATATGATATTATAAAAAAAAGAAACTGTTGCATTTATTACATGGCTTAGGGCTTATTTCCACTGACAGCAGAAAGTGGCACCTGCAAACCGCTTCGAAATCGCACCACACATTTTTAAAGTGTTTATCATATGTGACCGCCTAACTCAAAACGGAAAGTGGAAGCTTGGAACGCATTGTCGCTCTTCAATGCTGCACTTTGAGGTTTCTTTTGACAAGCAGCAGTATGCCACAACACGTATGCTTCCACCTGTACTGTGCCATCCAATAGCATTCTCACAGTGGTACAAGGTGGTTTTTGAGCATTACAGTGGCAGAAAAATGCCCCAAAACAGCCAGCATTGCTACCAGTGGAGACAAGCCCTAAACCAGGGGTCAAAATTTCAAGTCCTGAGCTACTCGCCAGGCCTTTAGAGTTACTCGCCACCAGTTGACCACCTAACCCCTACCCTGCCCCGGCCTTAACTCCGCCCCTAAACAAACCCTCTAAAATAATCTTAATAGCTAAGGTACTTGAATTTATTTTTTTTGTAACAAAATATTTATTGGGTTTTCAAGGTAGAAATAATTAGACATATTACATGGTATTTGCCGGCCGCAGTAGGCCACATAAGCGACTTGATGGGTTTGATAGCATGCCAATGCAAACACAATGCATTATCATTAATGTAAGATGAGTCAAAAGGAAAGAGTAGTAAAGAAAGAAGATCAGATAGGTAGTCCATCGGTCGGTCAGCTTCGATATTGGTTTGGATCTATTCCGCAGGTCCTCACTAGGGGTTACCTACTTATTTCCCCTCACTCTATTGACCACATCACAGGCGTCTAAGGGTGTTTACATCCAGATTAGGGTGGTTATGTAGGAGCCAAGGTAACCAGATTTTTAGAAATCTGGTATGTGTATCAGTTAGAACACACGATAACCATTAATTTAACAGTACATTATCTAATCTTTGCGTAAATTCCCGGTACAGATTAATTGTTTTTTCCCAATTTTCGCTAAGGTTAATTTGGCAGCAAGGAATATTTGGTGTGCCAGGGCACCCTGATATTTATTCAATCTGGGCACTGAAGCATGTAATAGAGCCTGTGTTGAGTCTTTAGAGATACTCTTAGGAAACAGAGTTGAGATTAAACGAAAGATTCTGGTCCAAAAACGGGCAGTGAACGGACAAGACCACCAGGTATGTAACATGTCCCCTGGGGTCGAACATCCGCAGAAGCATTTAGTAGATGATGACGGGAACATTTTAGCTAAACGAGTGGGGACCAGATACCAACTAAACAATACCTTATAGGCAACCTCAGAGTTTGTCACATTACTGGAGCACTTAGAAATATTTCTCCACACCCCCTCCAGTCTTCATCAGACTAGTTCAGACCAAGGTCTGCGGACCATTTGGTAGGATAATAATGTAGGCTAGTATGAGTCAAGGAGTTCAGTTTAGAATATAGGATTGACACCAGTTTGGGCCCTCCTGGTGAATAGAGGCAGATATGCTCGAAGCAGGTGAGCCTGCAGAGAGGATACCCAGTGTTGTAGTTGAATAAACCTGAACTTTTCTGCGTCAGGAATCTTTTTATGTGCTTTAAGGTAAGACCAGGTGGGTGTGTTAGAGGAGCGGTAAAAATCATATAGTCTAGTGAAGCCATTATCGGTCCACCACCCAAATATTTTAAGGTTAGTGTATGATGGAATAAATGGTTATGAAAGTAAGGGGAGAAGGAGTAAAGAAGGCGATATCAGATGTGATGAGTATTTCAGTGAGTCCCACACTTTCAAGTCATGTTTCAACAGTGGGCTGAGAGAGTGGGGTCTATCTGCGGGTGGTAACCAGGGGAGTGCTTGTAGAGCAGTTGGGGATTTCCAACATGGTCCACAGGGGGATATTAGTTACTCAGGGGATAGAAATTAGGGGCAAAAGTTAAGATGCTTGATAATAAAGAAGAATATTCGGTAGACCGATGCCCCCTTCTCGTTTGTGTTTATATAATGTGGATCTCGGAACCCTGGGGCGCAGTGGGTATATATAAAGGTTAAAATGTTCCTCTGAAAAGCTTGTAAGGCGAAAGATGGGACTGCTATTGGTAACACTCTAAAATAGTACAATATTTTAGGGAGTATGACCGCATCTTGACCGCAGCAACCCTTCCAAACCAAGATAGTTTATAGTGTATCCAGGTGTCCATCAAAGTTTTAAGGTGTCTAATCAAAGGTAAATAGTTAATTACATACAGCGTAATATACGAGGGAGAGATATTAACGCCTAGATACCTCAAGTACTTCTGTTCCCAAGTGAATGCAAAATTATCACGGAGACCGTCATAAGCAGGTTGGGTCAAGGATATATTCATGGCTGCTGATTTTTTCCAGTTAACCACCAGGCCAGAGATATCAGCAAAGAGGTCCAAGATGTGCAACAGATTGGGGACAGAAGTATGAGGTTGGGCAATGGTCAGCATGACGTCCTCTGAAAACAAGCTTGTTTTGTATTCCACCCCTGCAACCTCAATTCCCTTCACATTGGGATTTGAGCGGATCATGTAGGTCAAGGGTTCTATGGCCAGGGCAAAGAGGACTGGGGAAAGGGGACACCCCTGTCGCGTGCCTTTACCAATCGGGAAGGTCCCAGACACATGTCCCATTAATTTATTTTTTAAGATTTACCTCTTGAATTTAGTGTCATTTTAAGTTCATGAAGACTTACATAGTTTTGTGTATTGTAGCTCTGTTTGCCTTGTTAGTGTCATTCAGCATGAATACTCATTTACCCACTGTGTGTACATGCAGACAACTCCTTATTTGTCTATGATTTAATTATAATTTGTATATGATTCATTTTATTGATGTATTTAACAAACTGTATTGTTAGGTGGTGTCAACTAAAGCAGCTATAAAACGGAAATACTTTTTGGAACTATTTAAAAAAGTCATAATCATTGTATTTGACGGTAAATAACATCCAATAGATGAGACTGCAATTTCTGTTTAAAAGATTTATTATCTTTAAGGATCCAGTACTGAAAATTGTCCTGGGCATCTGTTTTGCAACCTTCGATGTTTATGTAAATGTTCTCCCTGCAGCCATCCAAATGCTAAATACCCAAGTAGATGCAGTACTGTACATATATATCCATTATATAACCAGAAGTGTTGCAACACCTACCCAGCTTCCAGGATAGAAAAAGGCAATTCAGGATATACAAGAATAGGTATACAAATAAATATGGTGTACCAAATGGTTTCCAGTTGAGTACATAATCTGTAGGGGGATTGATTTACTAAAAGTAAACAGGCTTTTCACTTTACAATGGAAATTTTCATTTTTGTAAGGGAAACGTCCCTTTACTTAGTGAATATGATGAAGCTCTGCTGATTTCCATCATCCAATCATGTGCAATCAAAATCAGTAAATCAACCCATTGTGCTATTTATAGAACAGAAGGCCTCCTTTAATAAAAGCAATTAACATTATTACGTTAGAAATAAGCGATTAATGAGATTGATGGGTCTTCAACTCATAGCCTGAAAAAAAGCTGTAAGAAACTTCTGTAACACATCAACAACCCTATTTATGTTTGCTGTATAGAGTCTACAACTTGTGGTTTGTTTGTTTTTTGTTAATTGCAAGGTAAGGAAACTGGAACATAATAAAATAAAGTTTTAATTAGAATAAGATATATGAAGGACAACAAACCACCAATGGCTTGTATATACAATTATTCATAATAGCCAATGGGATTCTCCTTCTGTTCTGCTAGATCAGTATGAATGATGAATTAAAGGATGACGTTTTCTTCATAGATAAGGGTTAACTGTGTTTTTCCAAGATATCATTAAATAGTTTATAAATAGAGTTTCAGAAATGGCAGCCCCATAATTCTTTACGTATTCAGACTAGCATGCAGTTCCAGAACAGAGAAGGTTAGTGATATTATAAATTATGTTGAAGAACAGTTTTATATGCTGGAGTGTCATCAAGAAGTTGAAACAATGGCACTGATGTACTAAAAGAGCCTTAATGTGCACACATTTTGTAGTAAAAAAGGAAATTAAAGTTTTCTGTGAGCTGATCGGAGCTGATCACTGAGATCAGACTGTGCATTATGCATACTAAGGGTTCTCAAGAAACACTGTAGAAGATCAGTATTTGCTTTGAGAACTAACAGGAAATACTAGCAGAGGGTCAGCTTTTATTATGTAGGATCGGACATAAGATAGCATAGGATAGAAACACATCATTCTTTCTGCTTGGCAATGTTAATGTTGGGACGCTATGCACAAAATAACAAACATATTTCTTTGACATTATATAAGATCTACAAAATGATATTCATTGGCTGTATTTACTTATTTGTGTTACAATGTCATATTCTTTATTTCACAGGCTGGATGTCTTGGTTTGGCAACAGCATTGTAATCTTTATATTATACAAGCAGAGAACCAACTTGCTGCCCATCGATTATCTTACATTTAACTTGGCAGTATCTGATGCCAGTATATCTGTATTTGGCTACTCTAGAGGAATCATAGAGATCTTCAATGTCTTTAGAGATGATGGTTTCCTTATTACCTCAATATGGACATGCCAGGTGAGAATAAATGATAGTTAACTTCACAACGTATCTATTTACATGATGTGGGTACCTTAGTTTTCATATAGTATACATGTACCCCAGGGCTGTAACTACAGATCAAATGTGATGGGGTCCCCCGATGACCTCTCTCTGAGCTGTGAGTAATGATGCCAAGATCCCAAAGACACCTCTTGTGTATCTGTAGTTGTCTCTACGCTGTAGACTTTACAGGGGATTAGAGTTGTCATCAACTGCAACCACTGCAACCCTAAATCAGACAATACTGTGTTATCTTCTCATGTTCTTAATTTGCCTCAACGACCTTGTGGGGCCCCCTTCAGCTCCCAGGCCCCATAGCAGCCGTCTGGGCTGCAATGGCTATAGTTACGCCACTGATGTACCCATAAACGTCCTATTCACCTGTCTAAATTTCTGAAAAGTTTTGTGAGGTTTGGAAAAAAAAAATCACTGATGAGTTTTAAAGGTATCATTGCTCACTGCACAGCTTTATTAAAGCCAATCGCGTATCCAAGTGTTGGGTATTTGAACATGTACTTGCATTGCATACAACAAATTCCTCCTAAATATGATTGAAGTCTTTCATCGGAGTGTAGTTCAGCAACCCTATGGTGAAGTTCTAAAGATCCAGGTAATGTTTTATTAATCTGAATATAATGTACACTGACCCTTTAATTTAGAACTGTTCTGACCAGAGCTGAATCATCCACTTTGTAAATTAGGTTTAGGCTTAAGACCCAGTGGAAGTTCAGGTGGCCCTGCTACAACCTACGTGTTTAAAATGCATGCATGCAGTAATCCAGGTGGGTAACATAGTTGGTCAAAGCGTTGCATTTGCATGTCACTTCACAAAAGAGTATACACTTGAAGGCAGCTACTGTCTGATGGGGTGATCCATGTGAGAACAATGCAGATGGGGTGGCCTCTGTACGCCTACTGCAATACTTATTAATGTCAGTGGAATGGATGGTGGTGGTGGTAGTGGGAGGCAGGGGGGGAGGGGGGAAGTTGCTACCTAGCCTAGGTCCTTATCCTGCCCTAATTCATTTCTTGTTCTGACAGTCTGATAGAAATCAACTGTTGGACAACAATTCATTCACGTATGTGCTTCTGTATGGTGGAACAACATAATATGCAGCCTAATAACAAGGAGCATTTAGATGTAAAGTAAATCAAGCTAAAATATAGAAAATGCTGTTCCTGCTGAAAAAGGGTATTTTCCTTGCATTTTCTATATGTGTTTCACAAGTTATCCACGGACAGAAGGGATGACATCCATACCAATACATTCTCACGCACACAACTGTTCATCAAACATCTCCCATTTCCGACTGTGATGTCTTATACTCAGATGACTCTATGGGCACATTTAGGCTTGTCCAAGCAATTATCAAGTAAAGCAGAATGAGAAAGAAAAAAAAAGTGATTTATACAATCAGTAAAAGTGATAATTTCCCTATCCTGATGTACAGTATTGAATTAGAAATAAAGGTAGAGTTTATACTTGTAAAGCAGGGACGTGTGGTCAGGGGAGACAGGTGAGGAAGAGCCTCACCTAGTATCAGGGGCTGACTGGCAACTTTTAGCCCAGGGGGCAAGTACAACCCAGAGGCCCATGGTGCAGCAACTTGGCCCCCCTCCCGCTCTGCCAAGTGGATGCTGGTGGGCGGGTCTAGCAGCGGCAAGCGTGAGGTAGGGAGGAGGTGCGGCGCGTGGAGAGTGGATGCAGGTGGGTGGGTCTAAAAGCTTCAAGCGTGAGGCAGGGAGGAGCTGCGGCGTGTGGAGCGTGGATGCAGCGGCAAGCGTGAGGCGGGGAGGAGGTGCGGCGTGTGGAGCGTGGATGCAGGTGGGTGGGTCTAGCAGCGGCAAGCGTGAGGCGGGG